TCAACACAGATAATAAAAGTAGAACTACATATTTGATTTTTATCAAGAAAAGAAATGAGAAGTTTAGTTTGGCTTTTTTCCCCAGCTAAAAGAACAGAATAGGAAAAGATTTTCTGAGGTCACTGAGACATAGAAACTAAAGTGATTATTTAGCTTCTGTGTCAGCACAACCTCCTTTGCAGTGTCCTATCTGCCAGAAGACAGATGACTTGGTACGGAGACCTAAGTACAAACAAAAATAGAATAAAAATTGGAAGACTTAAGAAGGCCAAGCAGAGGTATTCATAAAAGATTGTCCAGTATTTTGGTCAGAAAGAAGCTTTCCTAAACGTAATGCAAGAACTATTAGATAGCCATTCACATTATATCTACCAGAATTTAGTAGAAAATCTTTTTAGAAAATCTTTTCATAATTACAACTAATTCAAATTCAAGGCAGTTCCTTCAGTAAGTACCTTCTTACTGATATTTATTTTACTAAGCTAGTCTCAATAATGAAATTCCAATTAGTGATCTTCTATGAATAGCATATATTCAGTTTGCACAATTTGAGAACTCTTTTGTTTTCATCAACTAAACAAGACTATATTCCTTTGAAAATTGCATTATTCAGATTTGTGTGTATAGGCTGAAACTTGTTGAACGATCACATAAAATCATCACCACAATTATCTTTTCCAGTTTTCATTTCTGAACAGATGCCAGTGAGGGACACAGCAGCAGAAACAACCTCAAATGCAGTTCTTCGATTCTTCCTCCAGAATGATGATCTGCACTGGATTTTTCAACGATCAAGCTCATACAAATGCTTGGCAGTTTACCCAAAATAAAGGAGTTTGTTGAAAGGTCTGAGTATAATCTTACAGTCAGAGGAAGAAGTGAGAGAAGCCACTTAATATCCTTAATATCTGAAGGATAAGAAGGATAGAAGACAAAAAGTATGATTTGGGGCTTTTTTTATTGTGAAGGAATTTTCTATGTAGAAAGTTGGGTTTGTATTTAAAGCAATTCTGCTCCTATACGAGAACTCAAAAGAAGCTGACAAAATATACAACACTTATTTCCTTATTTTTAGCTGACCTTTAAAAACAAGTTTTTAATCATACTGCCCATTTAGCTTTTATAGTTCATACTTTTAAAAGCAGTTTACCCTTCAGGATGTACAGAACAAATAGCATGGTTCCCTTCTTTTTTTCCTCAGATTAATTTAGCATAGCTATTTTTATTTCACACATAAGAACACATTCTAAATTAGCAATGGAGGGACACCTGGCAACCTATCCAGCAAGTAAGTTCCTGCTCTCAGTCAAACATTGGAGAAGGTGTTCTCTCTATTACAGACATAGCACAACCTTTAAATTAATCTCTAATTTTTGACCTCAAAGTTAAAATTAGTGTCTGTGAATATTTACAACCTTAACTTTTCATAATTTGAAAATCTAAGCACCAACTTTTTTTCTACATTAAGACAAGAATTTTGGAATAAAAAGACAGTATGATTGTACAACCAAGACAGGAGGGTTTCCATAAAGGCAACCAAAATGAATTCTAGAACTAAAAATCACTCTTTGGCAACATCCTTTTATAACAATGCCTGCATTTGTACACAGTAAAGAACAAATGACATACAGGTTACATTGGCAAAAATATCCCTTAATCTGCAGTAGAAGAGCACTATCCCTCTAAGTGCTGGGAAGTGCAGCTGCAGAATGTATTCCCAGGGAACTGCAGGAGCTGTACAACCCCCACTGTGACACATACAGCTCCAGCTACGATGCTGCTGGCACTCAAACTTAACAGAGTGAAACCAGCTGAGAGAACACTACTCATTGTGCAATATCTGGTCAAGTTCTACACAACTGTTGAGATCTATCTCAGCTAAGCTCTTACAAAATAGATGCCTATTTCAACACAAAAGTTACTGAAAAATCCAGGTCTGCCTGGCAAAAACAAGCATTCGTCTCTGAAAGATGATGTCATGTGCTACATGACTATTTTTCCTCTTTGAAGAAAAACAAATGCCTTTCCAAACTAAAAATATAACATTTTTTTTTATTTTTTAAAATCCATTTAAGAGATGGAAAGGCAGTACTCTGGAACACAGAATAACTGAAGTTACTTCATTTATTTTTAAAAAATATTCCTGCTTTGATTTTCAGTGTATTAAGTCCCAATAATATAGCAGTACCTAAATTAGGCATTGAGCAAGTGATCAAGTTAAGAACCAGAACATTTTGTTTAGTTCTGAATCGACTTAAAATTGTGAGTTCAAAAGTTACAGCTTGTAACATTGAGCTCTCCTAATTCTGGTATCAATAAAAAAGAGTTCAAGCTAAAGGGAAAAATATTCTAAAGGCTGAGGTAAGATATAACTATCTGTAAAACACTAAACTGCAATTAAAGAAGTAATTTTTTGCTACCAACTTATTATCTCCATTGGTTTTACATGACTCTAATTTAATATTTTAAAGACTAATGTAATTTAAAATATTTTGTTTAAAACAAGGTAAATGCACATGTGTGTATACAGTGGCTAATTTGACAGTTATGACTGAGATGAGTGGTTCACCTACATCAGATACAGAGACTGAGATGACAGAGAGACGCGCAGTCTTCATTCAGTACCTTTACAAAGTACTTGAGTACTTGGTTGTTCATTTGTAATCAAAGTCATAAAATAAATATATATATATGTGTGTATATATAGATGTTTATCAAAAACTAGATTGGAAACTAGAGGAAAAACTTGGATCTGCAAGCAGAATCAGAATCATGACCACAAGCTCACTGATTCTCTTCTGAGGCATCCAAGACCACCAAGACCAACTCATCTCTTTGCTTTCTTCATACCATCAGAAATACCATTCCTAAAGGGATTGTTGAGATCCCAACTTGCAAAGTCCATTTTAAGTAGAAGGTCAATAGCCAAAACTTGGAGCAAAGACATGAGTTTGAATGGCCCTGGTCATGCTGCTATGAAGGAATATTTTACTTCAGCTCTTGTTCTGCAAAAGACAACCCTTCCTCAACTGCTAAACCATCTTCTGCTATAACTTGGCAAAGAGGATACTGTGGACAAATGTAAAGCAGCCAACAAGGATACAAAACAAAGGCTAACATATCCATTTCCCTATCTCAATCACATCAATACTTTTTTAACTGCATTTCTGAGAGGATCAGTAAAGGAGCACCTGATGGGACATCAACCTTCCTCATTCATGCCTTACCTAAGTCAGGCTCTGAGGACCAGCAAGTAAGATCCATGCATATATGCAAGTTATAGAAATAATACTAAACAATCAAAATGAAAAAGGTAAAAGTATTAAACCATTTACACAATAGAAGCATTGTATAGCAAAATTAAGTCTCAAAAACTGACAAGTACGAAATCACATCCAGATACTATATCCCGCAAGACTTTATCACACTTTTTAAGATTAAAAACTTAACAATACAATAAGGAAGCAGGCCAAAACTCCTTCTAAGAAACCTGTATCATGAGGTACTTAAAAGTTGTTACTGAAAATGTAAACATTGAATGATATTTCATACTAAAATATCCAATAAATTATTTTTACATTGCTCAACTTCCTTTGTATTGATCTTAAAGTACTTTTGGAATACTCTGATCTGATTACCCAGTAGACTTATCAAAGACTAAGAAAAGCTTCTGTACAGTGTATGAATACAACTTTTTCTATGTGGATCTATATAAACTCCACCAAAATTAGGGAAAAGTTTCCGAACATACAAAAACCTCCACAGCATTTAAAATACTAGTTACCATATTCTAACATACAGCAAAGTGAAAATAACTAATGCAGATGGCACAGACAGAATCAAAAACATTCAAGGAGTGTAATAAGAATGAAACTATTAATTTTGTTTTCTCATCAGACAACATTCTCATTTTCTGTTCAGTCTATTAATTACTAATCAGTTATACTGACTCTTTTAAACAATCACTAGAGCATGACTTGGGCAGAGGGATGCACACACAGGCAGAATCACAGTTTACAGCAATCATTAAGTGACCTGAAATTGATGTCCTTTTGCAGTATTATCTGTAGCAAATATGAATAAATTCATATTTGTAGCTAGATTATTTACAGAAAATTTTATATGACATAAAATGAGGCAGATCACAGTGCTAATTTTAAGTGTCTAGCAAAAGAAGAAAATTGTCTTACAAATTACCACTAGAGTGAAGAAGTAGGCAAAAAAATGGGATAATTAGGAAAGATATATGACAAAAAGGCAGGCAGATAATATGGCTTCCAAAGACATTTTTGTTACAATTTACATATTGTGCATTTCACTTACAAAAAAAAAACCTTAAGCTTAAACTCTCCAAGCATATGAGTATGTATTATATCTCTGCGTCAGTTATGAGCACTTTGACATTCTATTTCTATATTATATTAAGGCTGAAATGGAGTTGCTGTCCTGTTAGTCTTGAGTATTTTCTATAGCAAAATACTGCCACCTTTTGGCTTGATACATAGACCTCCCAATTTTAAATGTAGAACTCTATATTTTGCTCCATTTGTCCTTTATGGGGGTGGTTGAATCCTCGAGATCTTATCTAAAATTTTATTCAGCAGACATACGTCAAAAGAAATTAAAACATACAGTACTAGTCAATAAGGAAAATTTTTATCATAAGTACATTGCCAATCAACTTAAAAATATACTTCTTTAAGACACATAATGTTTTATCTATTTTCTCTTTATCTATCTCACAACTCTGTTCTTGGCAGTTTTGGTACACATATACACTGCATCACATGATACCTTGCATTTCATTCCTTTCAAGTACAAGCTTGGTAATGCATTCTTTGAACACCTGAGTTTTGAAAGCAGATGATAGAAATAACAATAATGCATTATTTAAAATGTTAGGTTCCTTGCTCATATATATACCTACATTATTGTAGATGAAACACCAATAGTTCAACATCTACATAAGCATGTATTGAAATGCATGCAAAATTACTTACACCAGTGACACAATGTCCCCACGTTGTACATCGTAATTTCTAATGCTCCAGTGGTTCAAGAGTACTACATCAGATGCTTCTCTTCCTCCAGGATTCAAAGAAGGCTGAGAGGAGAGGATAAAAATAGATCTACATTTATCTACATTTCCTTTATCAATCTTTCACCTAATTACCTTTCCATCAACAGGTGAAACCCATTAAAATTGGTAAAAACGTTCCCACTTACTGTGAGAGGCCAAGAATCTTTGTATTACAGGAAATACATTTGAAATACACTTCTTTATTAAATGATATGTTGAATATCATTCATTTATGGCAAACTCTAGTTCACATCTTTCAATGCACTAATGCATGCAAATCAGATTACATAGGATACATACTTATGGCAAAATAAGCATGTATCCTATATGAAAATAAGGGATTGCTGTTACTGCTTATCATTTAATATTAAAATCAAAGGAGAACCAAATACACTAATTCCCAGGAAAATAAACAAACAAGCTTTTTGCAGGCATCTTACTATTTATAAAAGCATAATGCACTAAAAATAAAATATGTACTTGTAGCAATATAATTTCAGCATCCTTTGCAAAGGGGAAAAACAAGCTCTACCTACAGCACATACTGACACTGGCAATAAATGTGGGCTTTCCACAATATGACACAAAAGGACATGAATCAAAATAATCAAGTAATTAATGCATCATTAGGAGGTACAGCAAATCCCCCAAAATTATTTTGCGTGATGTGATACAAAACCAGGGTACCTGATCAATGCTGCCTCTGAGTTAACTCTTGGGAAAGGGCAGAGGAAGGAAGAAGCCCACCACAGTACTGTATTTATGTTTGCAAGGCTTATTTTAAAACACAGTCTCCTTTTACTAGACAGAAATAATTTAGAAGTATTCCAGACTGAAGTTTTCTAATAGTTTATTTCTCAGACAGCTGTCTTCAAATAAAATTACAATATCTGCCAAGTTGGCCATTCTAGAGTAGGTGATAAATGCAATAAAGAACAGAGTGTTGAAATTAGGCTACCCCTCCTTTGTATAATAACTGCAATATTAGCTAAAAATTTTGGTTTTGTTGCTATTTTTCTAGAAAAGGCACTTACACTATAACTTGAACCACCACATAAACCACTGGACTTTCACTGCTGATATTCCCCTCTCCAAACTGATGCAACCTTCAATGAGTAAACCAACAGGGGAACTGAAATTAACTCTTCTTAACCCAAGTAATTACACAGTGTCAAATTTCATTCTATTGTTATTCAGTTAACTTTGCTCTCAAATAAAATGGTTATTTAGTTTTTATTTTTAACTTCAGAAGCAATTTAGAAGTGCTGATTTCTTTTTATTGCAGTTTCTTCATTCATCATTGCTAAATAGATTGGTTGACAAAGACATACTTCAAGTGGGATTTGTGAAAAATTAGTTTTTCAAGGTGCAAGAGGAAGTCATGTGGTAGGGCCTTCAGTAGGTGCAATTCACATGAACAGTAAGCAATATGCTAGGTCAAAAGAATAAACATAGTACAGAGAAGGGGAGGGATGTGACATCACATGTTTAGTTAAAGAGCAAATGAGGCTAGTTACATTTTGGTCTACAGGCAAATTTCCAGTAGGGTAAATCAGGGGATCAAAGCAGATCACTGTAACATCCATAGAGACATGGTCTGAGTCTATGCTATAAATATATTAACACTCATTGCTGTTTTATTTGCTAGACTCAATGCACTGCAAGAACCAGATAAATGAAAGCCAGGAACTAATTAGCAGTTATTTTAATAGTAGTTCTTGATCAAGATTTCCAGAATTATTACCTATACAGCATTTTCCACCAAAGGATCAAATATTTACAAACAAGTGACTTACATACAAACTCACAAAAAAATTCAGTCATACTCACTTTGCCATATGCAGGTACATAGAGGCCAGAAGCTTCCAACACTACTAAGTATAAGGCAGAGGCCAATCGTACAAAGCAGGAATCATATATATGACACATTCTCACAAAGTAAACTCCTCAGTACTCAAAGCTATCTGCCTTAAAGGCCAAAACAGGAGAATGAAACAAATACAAATCTCAAAACCATTGTTCCAAAAGATAATGTATCTCACAGCTGATACTTAGAAAATATCTAAATAAGTGTGCACACACTTGTATCAAATAAACTTACATCAACTACATCTTACAGAGAAATACATCAGTTAATTACAATATTGCCCAAGTTGCACTCTCAGTTGACTCCTTTTTTTTTCTGCATTTAAACAAAAGAAATACCTTAGAATTTAAATACATTTAGATATTGCATAAGTTGTTTTCACTTAAAGCACTCTAAATGCATTTTTAACAATGCATTTTGACATACAGAGTGGATATTCAACTCATTATACCTTTGAATTGTGTTTGAGAAAAATACAAAGGTGTAGGCTTTTTTCTTCTCTCACAAAAAAAAATTGACAAATGTGCAGACAATAATACTATTTTGTTAGAAGAAACTGAAGGAAAACTAGGAGATAACTATTCAGACATCAACAATCACTATTGTCTATTAAAAAATGAAAGGTTAAATCCTTCAGCAAGCCTTTATTGTAAATAACACTACTTGAGATTCCACAACAAACAAGTATAGAAACAATACAACTTATTCCTCATGATATTTGAAGTAGTAGTAAGGCTTCAAGTCTAGCAAAATCAAAATACAATTTCTGCAAAAGAACTTAACAAATAGGGTCACAAGGGCTTTTCATAAGAAACAAAATGACACAGAGGTTTCTTCCTTCTTGTCTGAAGCATTATAACTTTGCTCAAGTTTTTGGCATAAAATAAGGCACACAGGTCTTAATTTAAACTGTGGTGCAGAAGCCACAAAACATTACTCTTTCCAATTAATAACTAATCTAATGCTAAAAGCATGCAAATTCAGATTCCCCAGCCGTATGCTGAAGCCTCACAGGACATGAATTTTTACCCTCCTACATAAGTAGGAGGGTAAAAACATGCCCTTTTGCTATAAATAATGATTAACTTGATAGTTGTTATGCCCCTAGTGAAGGTCACAACTTACTTGCTTGTAGCCTGCGGAACACAAAGAATATTCACATGAGCTTATTATTCACAAGGCTTAGGTACAGTAATCCTAATAATAAAGTTAGGAGAAACTGCCACAGAATAATTACAACTGGTATTATGCATAATGGAACAGAACATTCAAAAACACAAGTGCTGCTGCAAAAAGACAAGTGCTTCATCAGAGATTGCTGCTCAGGCCACTTCCTCTAATCCTTGAACTGCTCCTGCTCAGACCACTTCCTTGGTATTGAACTGTTTGCAATAGAACCTGCGTATAAAGCTGCACATATGCTTTTATTTTCTATCCTATTTGAAAACTGTCCATTTGATTTAATGAATTTACAAATGTATATATCCATGAGAGGCTCCTTTTCCACATCTTTATGTATGAAAAGTCTGTAATACCAGACAAGCAATGAAACTCAATTGAAAAATAACATAAATTAATATAAAGATATCCATATGACAACAAACATTTTAAAGTATACAGCCCACACTACAAGAAGTCACACACAAAAAATCCACAACAGTCAATTAAGAAATCTTACTAGTAGTTATTTTCGTCACTTACATTTAATGTTGTAAACAGATTACAACTCACTAGAAATACACTATAAGTAGAATGCTAGATGAGCACATCAACCTAAAATCCTAAGCAACAAAACTACCTCAAGTGATGATTAAAAAACCCAGTAAATTTGGAAATAAAAGAGAAAGTAATGAAATTATTAAAACTGTTAAAATTATAAACTGCAATAGTTCACAGTTATTCGCTATAGGTTAGAGTTAAAACACATATACACTGAAGTCAGAACAAGTGAAATTACGACAGGTGGCTGAAAGCACTGAAAAATACTAAATCAGCTGGAGGCAATACAATGCATGAAGTCTGTCTTAATTGGTTAGGTCAGAAATTTTTTATTTTCATTAGAAGCTTTATTCATATGCATGCCAGGGTGTCAAAAAGTGCTCCCATCATCAGTAACTATGAAGCAGCAGTAAGGCTGGTCCAGAACAAAAGGAGAAACTGTAGAGGGGAGAGGAAGCACACAGCAGAGAACAAGAGTAGGAGAGCAAGCATGACACAGAGAAATTTATTTTTGCTTCTTGTAAAAAACTTTTAATTTCAGGCTCAGCAGGAGCCAGAATTATAAGTACACAAAGCCAGATAGATATTTTAGAGGTCTATTACAAACAGATTCTTGGGAATCTTACCATGATATCAAATTGAGACAATAAGGTATCCCTGGAAGCATGCGACTGAAGGATCCAATCTGACTTCAAATTGACTGAAGTTTAGCCTTCCTCATACCTATCACTTTCAGATATATTTGACATAGATCACTCCTCCAAAGAACACAGTTAACAGACAGAATTGCAACGTGACCAATATTCCCTCAAGCTACTCTTAAAGAGACGTATATATTTCTTATAATTGTGTTTCTGTCAGACTTGCTTAGATGTCTAATAAATCCTGGCAAGGAAATTAGTATCTTATTAAAAGCACTAGGACTATTTTTTTCAATCTGAAAAATGGCCATATGCATGGAGGTTTAAAACAAACCTCTATTTCAGTTCTGTTTCAGAATAAAACAAGAGAGTTTTACAGACACTGAGATGTCAGTAAAATTACAAATGTCAGCTTTCATGCTATCTATTTTTCAATCAACAGAGGGAATGTTTAGTTAACAGATACAGCAAGGGAAAAGCTTCAATTATAATAATCCAGTGAATATATATTGCTTTCCTTTTTTAGGTTGAATAAATCTAAGCAAATGACTGTATTGTGTAGCATCCCATGAACTCCCTGCTCTCAGTCAATTCTCAAGTCCTCTGCCTTAGTAAAGGCAGTGACTAACCATCATAGAGTAGTCCTCCTGGGGGGAATAGGAGACTCCCCCATGGACTTCCCCTGGTTTCTCCTTTCCCTGTTCCCTCATTGTTTGGATACCCCTGGTGGCTCCCTGCCCTCCTCCCCTTCCCCTTCTTAAGCCGCTTGCAGCACGTGGTGGTCCCCTCTTTCTCACTGGGTTCCCTTCAGTTTCATATGACCTCACTGGAATAAAACCTTGCAAAAAGAGCTTTTCTTGACTCTCTCACTGAGCCAGCTGTGGTGAGTGTGGTGTGGGGATCTGACTGCGCTGCCTGAATGTTTACCAAACCTGCTTTTCTATAGGAGAATTTTTTTGGCAACAGATATTAGGCAGCAGCTTCCACCATCCATTTCCAGCATTTTTAGTATTGGTTTTCAAATCTTCCACGGATAAACTACAGTCAACTGTGCTCCTCAAGTGAGTAGCAAAACAACACTCCAAAACAATACCAGACCACATTCAAACACTTGGAACTGACTTCAAAGAAAACATAAAACTGAGGTACTAACCAGACAGGCACAACACACTTGTGGAGAGGGAAATCTAAGAAATTTCTTTCCAGCTACTGAAGCAAAACTATTAAGCACTAATGGATGTCAAACAGAACACTAAATCAGAGGCAGAAAAAGATCAAACTAAATGGCAATGTGGTATGCCAAATAAACCCAACACCTCAAAATTTAATTGCTCAGGTCACACTCACTAGTAGCAAAAAAAACCCCAAAAACCAGAAATAAAAAAAAGGCAGCAAGCCAAAACCAGAAAATCCAACATGAATCTGCATCTTAAAACATTCCATGTGGCTCTAGAATTGCAGTAGAGGCAAAAAAATGGGAAGATGGAAAACAGAGTTGTATTCATCTGGCTCATTTTGTACTTCTCTAGATGCTGTGCTATATATTTGAAGTTCTCCTGCCTGAATATAATAAAAAGACAACAAAACTGGTTTTTTTAAGTTTTCCCTTCCTCTCATTTTTAGTGCAAATTTCTGGCTCTGCAACGGCAAGCCCTGAGATTGTCCTCTCTTTCACTGGTCATCAACGATATTCAGAAAAGCATCTGTGGAAAAGGTAATAATAACTTATGTTACACCTAGTTTTTGGCCTTAGATTGAGGAATTACTGGAGTAAGATGATTTTACTTTCATCCCCGTTCTTGATGTGAAAGGTGCCTGCTGAGGTTTCTTGACCGAGTTTAAACACCAGATTACAGACTGCCACAAAAGACACAATGCCACCTTGCCATTCCCTCCTCCCCACTACATGCTTTTTAGAACATTAAACATAAATCAGCCAAGTGCAGGATCAAGTCTAAGTTTTCAAGCCCATGCGTAAATTCTGCATAATTCAAACTCCAGCAGCTGCTCTTGATTGCTGTGAAACCTCTCTTCAAGGTTCTGAGCTTATTAAGACAAACAGAAAAGAGAGCTTGACATCCAAGAATCAAATCCTAACTTTTTACTAATTGGAATGTTGCAACATTGAAGCAAAATACATCATCATTATCAGTGGTGATGCATACCAACATGCAGTGCATATGATTTAAAATGCAAAGTAATAAAATGGAAATTTTCTATCTACATTAAGATATAGCTTTTTCAAGACCAAATAAAAGGTGAAAGAAATAGTGTTCCTGAGTATTTATCATCTAAATGTTATACATTCTATTTATATTTACTTCCTTATGATGTATAAGCATTCAATACAACCAAAGTAAAAACTGTGAACTGATACCTATTTCCTGATAAACATAAGAAATAATAGTAGGTTCATGCCACTTTAATTATTCTTCCCTGTAATTGTGCCCTATGTGTTCAATAATAAGAACAAGTATAGCAAGGAACAGTTTTACCATACAGTTACTATAAAGTAGCTACTTAAAATTAATAAAGACTCTTTGTGAGTCCTCAATTCAATCCCAAGAGACAAAATATATTGCTCCACATATTTCTAAATGTCTAGGAATATATCAAAACAATCTATCGCTATTTCTCCCTATATTTTCTTTTTATCGACTCAGAATTTTGGGAAGTTTTGTTCTCAAAATCTTTTCTTTCACATCACAGAATACTTAACAAAGTTGAAACTAAACTATTCCATACTAGAACATCATTTAATAACAACTGAGAAAAAAATTTTTCACCTTGCTATTATCAGTGAAGAGACACCTTTTAATTTCCTGATAGACAAAAGATATTTCCAGGAATACCTGCATTGATGCTCCTTCCACCCTTGCGACACAGGCAACTCTATCCAGAAAAGTCACAGTTACAGGAACAGCAACAAAGAAACCTTTAAAAAAGGCTTTAATGTATCTCCTCCCCAAACCCTGAGCCTGTGCCATAATCTGAAAAACAGGAAGGAAAGAAAAAAATCATTATAGAAATAATTTGAAGTAACATCAACATGCAGCAATTCAACACAGAATAATTAAGAATGAATTTATTATCCGTTAGAGACTCACAATATCCACAGTGAAAATAAAAGTGTGCACACAAGAATGGAAAAAATCCCCAAACCAGCAAACCAGAAATCTTCATCAGATTTTAAATGTCTATTCTACAGAACAGAGGTTGATACTTCACATTTACCCTATAGCTAATTTGAACATTTCTTGTGATCCTGTGCTAGCAGAAGTACTTGATAAAAATGATTCAAGGTGGCAGGTAAGGAAGAAGCAAAGTGATGCAACCAGGCAAAATTTAATAATGCATTTTGGAAAAAAGAAGCATTGCAAATCATTTTCTCTGCATACACTGGTATTTATTAATTTTTCACCCCCAAAGTTGGACTGTGTTAAGCAAAGGAAAGCTATTTGCAACACATCACCTTTATTAAATATTTTCACAAATGAAAATGCACAAATGCATCATTTCCACACTGGTGGTAACTGCAAACATAAAATCAATTCAAATTGTCACATACATCATAGGGACACACCAGAACATGATGCCTCCTTGTTCACCACTCCATTGCAAAGTTAAAAGCATGTGGCAGACGAGGCAGCTACCTAATGACACATGGGATAACTCCACTCCAACTCCATGTATTATACTATCTCTCATCTCTTTATTTAGCCCTGAACCACTGAACATGCTTGGAAAGTACCTACAAAGTGCACTGAAACACCAGGTGTTTGTTTGTATTAGTCACACTTCTGAAAAGCAAGCTGAATATCCAGGTACTGCTGCATACATAATTTACATAACTGCAGTTTTAGTATAAGAAATGCTGTCTTTCACCTATTGGCAACTCCCACCTAATGAATCCCTGGTAGATCAGCTTGTGTTTATATCCAAGATAAGAGTTATTTTTCAATTAAAATAATGAAAAGTGCAAATATATGCAGTTTCATTCAATCCTCTTACAAAGTACTTAAAATTTCACAATATAATCCTTTTTTCTTTGTTGCATTTTCAGAAACATGGAAGTGATTAACTATTTGTATGCAGGATATAAATTTATATCACTCTGATGAAATAGTACTGAAGGTAATATTTCTGTCACAGATAGAGCTTCTTAATTCCAAAAAACCATAAAACTTAGGAGGAGAAAACTCAGTTCTACAAAGTAAGCCATCTGCATATTTGTCTCTAGAATTCTTTATAGACATTAACAGCTTTGCAATGACAAGATATGTCTTCTGAGACTATTACTTCTGACATTCACCTTCAAAAGGTTTTCATTATTTTTTAAGTGGAAACATTTCATCATCTCTAACTTGCTCATAAATTTAAATTTTCACACTGCTTATAATTGTTATTTTCTTTCTGAACATTTCATGAAAACATTTTCAATTTACATCAAGCACTTTTAAACATAATTTTAAATATGTTGTGAAACAGAACAAAAACCTCAGCATTTCAAGAAAAATTGTATAAGGATTTACTCTCAGCTTATCATTTAAGAACTGGTAATTAGATTCAATCCACCAAAAGAGATTATTGCCTCAATCAGCAGAATTTTACCTGTGGAAAATTTGCCACATAAAAACAAAATCTCTAAAAATCAGGGTTTTGTCCACCTTCTGACTACATTATTGCCTACACCTTAATACCATTCTCTCAGCTATTTACTTTGAACTTTGTGTCTCAAGTTTTGTGGCTGGAACTCTACTTTTCTGCTATGAGATCTGGCATCTCAGACCTCCTCCACTCAATAGCAATGTCAGCCACAAAACCTCATTTTGAGACCTTACCCACAAATATATTCACCATGTTCTCTGGAGTAACTTGAGCAGGAAAACATTGACACATGCATCACAAGATGGCTGATTTAAGAATAGCTTTTAAAAATTCAGAAATCAAGCATCTTTACTACTCTTAAAATTCCTCAGAGTCAAACATGTTTTTCATTAATAATGAAACATGAATATTCATCCCATCCCTTCTACTAAATCCATAGACAGATCTTGTTATAAACTTTTTGCAGAAGCCCCATGCTAGTATCTAGAGAAAAATCCAGCATCTGAAGAGAAGTAATTGGTCAGACAATTCACAGGAGAACCAACCATATGCTTCCTAGAACTTACAAGCTAATTAATAGTGATGGAGAATCTAGCAGTCAGGTTAAAACTGCTAAGACAAAATGCTTCATTCTCAGCACACCACTTGGACAAGGCAACACCAGCAGCATTAAGCAACTGCGGACAAACTGGAAATTAAAGTCTTACTTTTGTGGGTTTGAACACATGTAGCATTACATAGCACAATATAAAAAAACATGAGGGGAAAAGCACCAGCAGCATCCCCACTTTTTTGCAAAGCCACCAAAACCAACAACAGCTCATGTGCTGAAGGACTTCTCTACTTGGCCTGAATTTTCTCCTCTCCTCCCTTCTCCTCTCAGTAACAGATCAAACCACTGTTTTAATCTTCCCTGTACACCAAAATGATGAGTCCTTCATTTATAATGATGAGCTACATTTTGAACTTTTCCTGGTTCCCCACCTTCCACAGCAAAGGGCACCTTTTCCCCATAACACAAGCTGAGCCACTCAGCAGAAGCCTTTCCTCCCAAAAGACAGTAAACATTTGCATACACATTTCAAGCAATTTGAGAAGAATTGTTTAAAAACAATCCATCTATAACTAAGTCCTTTGATATAATGAAACATTTTCAACACAGTATCCGAATTAACGGTGCACACATTTTTGCCAGATCTGTTTCATAAAACCTTCCCCCCTAAAAAGCACAGACAAGTAAATGCACATGCAGAGTTCCCGTGCAACTGCTGACAAAATAGTTCACCATCCAACTGCCAGTAAATGGGAAGTCTCCCTTCACTCTTTCAAGTTGTCTTGCACTGCTACAGGGGAAGGGCTGGAACATAGGAAGCAGAAAGGCAGTTTGCAGCATTACCTTCTACCAGTAACTGGACGTGTGAATGGATAATCCTCAACTGATAAATACTGCTGGATTAAAATGTGCAGTGTTATCTTCCTTAAACTTTGATGGTTATAGGAGAAAGGAAGGGGGGAAAGTAATGATAAGCATTTCCTGCAGTCACAAGAGAGAATTTAGGGTGGTAAAGGTAGACACAAAAACAACCCTTAAAAGAAAAAATTCTGGTTAGAGTTTTTTTAATTAAAAAAAAAGATACCCATCTATCCTGATGGGTATTCTGCTCTTAGAGATTTCTAAAACATCTGTAGATTTTAAAAGCATCATGTTTCTGGAGTGAAATTCTGAAATACAGTACAGTGTCTGGTTTATGATGACAGGTTTAAATGCATGTCAGTGAGGCAAGCAAAGTATTGTTTGCTGAAAAAAAAAAAAATTTCCCTAACACATATTTCTGGATCTCTGCCAAATTTGACACCTTGCAGAAGATGAACAAATCACAACATTTAAAAGATGTGGAAAAAAAAAAGAAACAAAACCAAATACAAAAATAACAGAATAAAATACTTTAGAGGTGCATATGCTTTTCAGCACCTGGAAGTTACACTTGGTTTAGGGGAAAAACCCCACAGAATAATTCAGAAGAACTGACAAACTTCAAACCAACAACCTTGAAAACTTGTTTGAAATGGAAACACGGACAAGAAAAATCCAAGATCAAAAATGCGAGCATATAGCAGGTCAAACCATTAAGAATTTCACATTGTGCAGCTCAGAGATTAAGGCAGATGGAGCACAGCATTATCCGGACTGAAGTATTTGGTGCACAAAAGGTCCAGGGATTATAATGAGCCTCTCGTGGGTACTACAACATATGGAGCAGAGATGCTATTTAGATAGCTCTCTATGTATAAAATGTTTATTTTTTCTTACACTTGCCTGCATATTAGAAGACACTGTTTATCACACAGCCTGCAGAAAATCATCAAGTAATTCAGAAAGCCCCAGGTTACAATATATTTGCAAACCTAGGTACTTAAAAATTACTCACAGAAGTATGATAGCAAAAATAGCTGTAAAAACAAGGCATTAGCAGTCATGTGCAAAGGAAATAGAATGGCCCCTGATGTGCTTCTACAAGAAGACATGAGGGAACAGGAAGGAGGGAATTACAACCTATATGCAAAACAACTACCCCACCAAGACTGCTAAATTAGTGTGAAATTACCTATTTGATCTTGTTCAGGAATTAGTAACTATATGATATATAGTTCAAGAATCCATTGAAACAACCAACTTCTCTGTCAATCAAAATATACATTTCTCTATAAATGAATGGCACCACACTAGAATTCAGGATATATGGCTTGAAAATAAAGATTACTTTCATTACAAAAAACTCTACAACACCTGAATAAGCCAAATTTTATTGTGTCCTTTAAAACATAAAAATGAGGACAAGAGCTTTTGTTTTAAGACTAGCCTAACTTAAAGAAGATGAGGTTATACCTGGCTTAACAACCATGGTTAACAGCATACCATTCAGTATAAGAATTTATGTGATCTTTTTAACACATTCTTCTTCTACAATCTTTAATGATACAAGGCCAGAGCTAAATACTGCCATGCAGTATCCATCCACTAAAGTGGGAAATCAGGCTCAGGCCTAAATACTGCCATGCAGTACTTAGGCCTGAGCCTGATTTCCCACTTTAGTTTTTACATTTCCATAACTTTTATATTACAGTGATTACTGTAAAGGTACAAGTATGCAGAGTTTTTACTAGGTTGATTTAAATCACATATATTTATCCAAGTACAGGCTTGGACATGATGGTGACGAATGCCACAGAAGAATCAAAATAGACTAGTTCATCAGTTTTCAGATAAAATAATCAATACAGATCAGTGCATTTAAGTTTTCATTTAAAAATCCTATCTGGTTCCAAAAGGAGCTCTCACTTATCCTCCAATAAAGCCAACTCTATCCTGCTATTATTCCACTATAGTGGTAACATGTCTATTCAATTAATGTATTTATACTCTGCACAGGTTTTACTCATCCTATTCCTCCATTATATTACTCTCCCTCTATGCCCTAGCATACAGACATGAAAGAACACCCCTCTCTTTTGAGTTTGGAAATATCTCAGGTCATGGAACAACTGTTGTGTTACTGCAGAAGAAAATCATAACCTAATCTGCAGTTTCAGCAATTGCACACGTATGGTCTGCTTTTCTTTTCTCTTTTCTCTAAATTAGTCTTTTTGTTCTGACACCCAGATATTTTGCTTGCACCAAATACAAAGCAGCAGATTTTGTTAGTTTCAACTCAATTTTGTACCATTTTCTTATGCCTTTGCTTGAATTCAAGCAATTACAATTTCCATGTAATAGGTCCCAGCCCTATGAAATATGTAGAATTTTTTTCCAGTATACCACAGTAAAGAAAAACAATAATAAAAATCAATTTTTCTAATCTTCTCAGTGCTGTAACATACAGAGAAGTTCCCAGAAGCAGACAAAACCAGATCAACCATAATGAGCTTGCAGCTCACAAACCAAATAGAAAAGCTTAAACCACAATAATCATCAACACATCAGTCACAGAATTATTGCTGGGGGAAAAAAATCAGTTTAATGCAGAACTGATTCTTCTTTTAATACAAAATACCATCATACAATATGCCATCACTGGGATCTATGTCATGTACAAAGGCTTAGTTGATGAGTTGGTTGTACCTGGAAAGAAATTAATATTTCTTATTCTTAGAAATTAATTTTGTGTTTCAAGTATGCAAATTTTACCCTAATGGACAATCTTGTATTTCCAAACAAAACATTTCACTTTTCAAATATAAGCAAAACTAGAAAAAAATACATCTATAGACCAAAGTTACTCTCAGCAACCAAATTAACAATTAGTTTAGGATGGAAAGTAACCAGCCATTTCTCAGCTCTGACAAGTTATTCAGGATTCCATTTTATACACACAAGCATCAAGAAAAGGAATTACAATTAAAAATATTAGTAATTGTTAGAAATCATACTTTTTCCCAGCACTTAAAACTTCAGATGTGATGTAATGAAATATCTTCCAAGTACTATCACAAAGGCAATTGGTAGATTACCAGTTCTTCTAACAAACAAGTTACAATATTTGTGTTTATTCATGTTCCTGCACCTTCAAAGAAACTAAAGATCATTAATATATACCATAGATAAAGGAAACTACTAAATTACATCAATTTTTGGAACTCACTTAAGAGAGCAACATAACATATGTTCAGCTTCTTACAACTGAAGGTTCTCTGTTGCTTTCAGCCTAAGGATTCAATGCCTGCAACCAAAGTTAATTGTTTAAATTAAAGTTTCCTTTGCAAATAACTACCAGCTGCTGCTATGTTTTGCTCTCAAGTAGACTGCATAAATGAGGAGTTGCTTTGAAACTTAATGAATTTGTAAATAATATTTACACTAGCATAACCTTTGAACGTCAATGATTTTGTACATCCATTTAGTCAACTCTCTGGATTATTTCAAGCACCACAGAACTGTGATGTTATTTGTGGTTATCCAGAACCAAACTTAGGCAAAAACAAAGACAACAAAAAAGGGGAATATTCAGTTTTCACCAAAATATATAACTTTAAGTATTCAGATAACATTAAATGAACAGCCTAAAAATAAGAATAACAGCACTCAGCTTCAAACATTACTATCATCAGAAACAAACTCTTCTAAAAGGTTTTGCTTTTGGATTAAGAAGAACTAAGCCTCATATGGAACAGGGAAGTTTCTTCTAGACTAATGCAAAGTCAAATGAATACAAAAACAAACTAATAGAAGAAACAAGATTCTCAGCTATGACTCTTTAAAGCATACCAGTATACACTAAGTATACAGAGACAGAATAATGACTGAAAATAGTATTTATTATGGTATTAAAAAAATTATTCCAAGAGAAAGAAGAGAAATAGGGAAATTGGGACTGACTCTGTGACAGAATATTCCCATGAAACCCATCAGTAAAACCTAACAAACCAACTACTTACCATCTACTCTCTGGGGGATAGTAATAAACTAATACAGAAAATTATGCCTTCAAAAAATAATTGCCTTTATTTTAACAACTCATGCTTTATCCTTGAACTGTAGAGGTCACTGTGGGAGTTGTTAAGAGCAGACCTGGTGTACTCCCATCATTCCCCACCATACTGATTTCGAGTCTGGGATTTGTGATAACTTTGACTGCCATGTGAGTTTCTCAGGTCTCAAGAATAAGCAAAACAACTTAACAAGCACAAGGATATGGATTTCCAGAAACAGCTGAAATCTGTGGCACCCTAATCAATTTATAAAGATCTCAGCACAAAATTACAACTGTGACTGTGAAACCATTTGAATCTTAAAATTATTGCTGGCATGCTTAAAAAATTATTTTCAGGAACCTAGATATAACCAATTACCATGTGTATAGTTATTAACCACGAGTTCCAGGAGAAAGTTTATTTTGGTAACAACATACAAGTTAAATAAGAGAACCTGTATTTTAAAAGTAAATTAAATTAGAGACTCCTGGAAAATCTTCTAAATACAGTAGTTTAAAATTTTAACTTGTTTTACAAAATGAATATGTATTCAGTTACAAAGCTGCATATTGGAAAAATCAAGTTTAATTCCGAAGTTTTCTAGAGAAATTAACCTGAAAATCCTCAAGAGGTTCTGTCTTCCTAGTATATTTTGTTGAAAATTTCAATTTTCTTCCTAGATGAACAGTGAACAAATATGTGTGATATATACTTTTAGGGGGAAAAAAGAAAATAAAAACATAGTGGTACAAGAAAGTTACTTAGAGAGATATGTAATGCAGATTTGCCTATTCTGGTATCTTGATGTGCTCAATGAATTCCAGTTCCACAGAACAAGGATGTAATACCAAAACAAAATGTAAAACTTCTATAATGAAATCCTGGCTAATTAAAAGATTTTACAATATTAGAGTCTACTTGTTGTTCAGCTGCACTTTTTCTATCTAAGGTTTTTGCCAACATCCAAGAAAATTTGCCTTTAAAAATGTAGGAACACCAGAGAGACGTGTCTAGGAACTGGCTGAATCTCTTCAGCTTCAAGCATTGCAGCCTTTACACAGAGAAGCATCTAAATAATAACAGACTGCGAGAGAAGAACCAGACGTGGGAAAGCAGCCACTTTAGGAGAGGTTATATAATTATAAACACACAAACAAACAAAAGATAAGAAAAAAATTCTCTCTGAGATGTCCAGGCTGTAGGGTAGCAGGAAAGCCACTACATCAAGATACCGGAGAACAGCCATTAACAGTGGTCCTCATAGGACAAATACAAGATGTGACAGAAGTTTATAAAGCAGAAAAACACGTTAAGTAAGAACTGCATTTAGTCCAGGACCAAGCGCAGTGCAGTACAAGTCCCAGCTGCAGACATGACGCCGACGAACGGCGGCGGAACCCCGGCGTCGCTTCCGAGCCCATTCCCCCGCCCGAGCACCCCGCCTTGCACCGGCAGCAGGGCACGGCCGCACCGCCGCTGACAGGCGGAGGGCGCACAGAGCAGCGGTGCTTCTCGCTATTGACGCTGCCGCTTCTTTCTAATGCAGCCGCTTCCCACGGGAAGCAGCTATCTCGGTAACCGGAGAGGCGAGGAACGCAGGACCCGCACACCGCACTAGAGCCGGGAGGCACCAGCGGCGGCGACCCGCGAGCGGCGCTCCCGCCGGCCCCTCAGGGACCCGCCCCGGGGGAGGCGCGGCGGGGGCGGGGCCGGGGAGGGGCGGAGGCGGCACCGACGGCTGGCGCGGGCTCGTGGCCGGGCCCGCCGCGCGGCGCCTGCCTGTCCCCGCCGCCCTACCTGGATCCCCTCTGCTCACGCCCGTCCCCGCTCCCTCCTCCACCAGCCAGCTCCCCGGCCCCCTCCCCGCCCCGGCTCTCCGAGCCCGCCCGGCTCCCGTGGCTCCGCCCGGCTCCCGCCGCTCCCGCCGCTTACCCTTTGCTCGGTGCCGCGGGGGGCGGGCCGCGGCCGGCCGCGTCACGTGACGCGCGGTGCTCCCGGAACGGCCGCCCCGAGCCGCCCCGGCTGCCGGCGGCTCTGGCCCGGCCCGGCCGGGGCCTGCCGGGCTCGCCTGGTGCCGCACACGGAGCCCGACAGGCCTGCACGGAATAAGGCTCCCGGCCTGATCCTTTTTCAGACTCTGTAGGTACCGCTCGAGTCCCCAAAACCCTGAGGATGCTGCATTGCAGTGGCTGTCCTTCAGTGATACACGAGTATAATCATGTGGCCATTTTTTGGCAATTGAAAAACAATAAATCTCTTTGGATAGTCATGTGTAATATTGAGAGTTCTTAATATTGCGGTACAAAGCAGTTGTGTACCTTGCATACAGTGTAACCCACACAAAAGGCCAGGATTTTTGTTCAGCCGATGACTTCTAGAACACACCAGATGTGATCCGGACTGATGTCAGCCACATCTGTATATAGAGCTGGCTGCATTGTACTGGCCTGATGGATGGTGGCTGGCTTTTCCTGGCTGGTGCAGATGGATACACTAGGGCTTGTGTTCTCATTCAGTGTTTAGTTGTTTTTATCTATTGCTGTAACAAGTGTGGGTGCCAGTATAGTCTGAAAAAGGAGGTTTTTCCACATAGTTCATGTACCTTCAAGAGTCAATGGGCAAATTCATGGAGGGAAAATCCATTGCAGATTATCACACACGTAGACACTAACTCTGGTTCAGGGTGTTCCTCACTGGATGCTGAGAGATACTTCTACTAGTTAGGCCATTGTTGGAAACCAATGTAAGATGACACCTCTGCCCCTATCTGTGCATGATTGATACCCTATCTCACTTTTTGTTTTCCTTTACCACATTTTTAAATAAGCGTTACCTTTACAATCAAATAAGTCTTACTAACTTTGTTGTTGGTTAATCTTTATTTAATGCATTCTTTAACACATTTGAATAGTGTGCTGTCTTCAAGATTCTAGAGGTAGGTTACAGTGCACTGTTTAGAAATTAATAGAGTATTTGACCTCTGCTATCCATCATCTCCATTTTCATGTAAATATTTTACTGTGAAACCTTCACTAATTGTTTACAAATATTGCTGCAAAACACAGTATTGTCTTTTTAATTGTAACATAGGAGAAACACCTTACAGGAATGTGCCTCAATGTTTCCATGCACCTGAAGCTGACAGTATGAAATAATTCCCTCTAAAACTCTTGAGCTGAAACTCTTTTCAGATTAAAGATTTTTGCTATAAACCTCTCAAGATCAAATCACGGCTTATTAGTTCTCTTCGTTTTGAAATCAGGTGTGTGCTAAGCAGCTAGCAGGAAATGCCCATTCTTACTCTTTATTTAGTTGTGGATAAAGTGAAATTTATCAAAGCTGATACTAAAGCTATGAACTGCAAATGATGCATTACCAATGTTTGCACCATTTTATTTTTATCTTTTTAATAAGTATTACTACCTCAATTGCATTGGTACCCAAAAGTAAATGGCAAGGTTTTTTGCTTTCAACTCTTAACAAGGAGGTACTGAAAATGTTTTGCTGCTTCTATGTTTTGATGCATCTATGACTGAAATAAAGAGAAAACAAGCCCTTTTTACCCACCTCTTACTTTTCAGTTGAGAGTACCACTAAAACATTCTTGGCAATACACAAAACTTTTACCTGCAATATCCGTTTAAAAGACTCTCAACAGACTCTCAAACAGCAAGCTTTAAGCTAAAAAACACATTTACTTCAGTTTCCTCCAGGTTAATTTCATTTTGCATTTTAAGAGTACAGAAAATCTATGGGAGATATTTAAGATCTGCTTTGAGTTAAAGTCCTAACATTTGCAAATACAACTATCTGTAGGGTATTTAAGGAATTTTCTATCTTCCTTCATATAGTAAATAAATTAATGTTTGAGTGGTGTTGAGTGTACTGCTCAGAGGGAGTGTGTTTTGAAGGAAAATACTGGGCCAGATCCAACTGCCTCAGAGCATAGGAAAGGTACAGTGAGAAAAGGGCACAGGATCAAAAAGTCTGATTGCTTAATGGATATTGCAGATAAACACTTCATATAGTCCAGCTGCAGCTTGAAAAACTTGTGGCCCAAGGGCAGCAATCAATAGTGTAGAACAAAAGAGGGCAATAAATCTTAAACTTGCTATTGTAGTGGAAAAAATATGATTGCAGCATCTTCAGTATTGTATTGTGCACATCTCCATTTCATTACATGACTAGGAACCTAACTCCTGCTACCTTTGACTATCACACATTATTCATGTTATGCCTCATACACACTGAAAAACAGTCTGGTCAGAATAAAGTAGATTTTGCATACAGTTGGTCAGGTAAGCCACAGAGCACTAGAGAGGTCTCTAGTGACCTCTCCATCAGGGAAAAGGGAAGAATTAAAACACAAATTTATTCCTGAAATCCTGTCATGGGTCAGTGAAAATAGTATAATCTTTGAGGGCCAGAAAATATATCAATTATAGATTAATAACTTATGATAATCAAATTAATAATCTTGTATTCCTAAAGGAACTGTTATTACACTCATATTTTTACACAGGAAAGAAGACAACAAGCATGATTTGCAAAGTCAAGAGTCTGTTGTCAACATAAATTCTTGACAGACTCATGAAAGGTTTTTCAGGTCAGATTTAATAATTACAAAAAAAAAAACCGAAAAAGAAAACAATGCTATTACAAGGGAATAAAACCCCACATCTATAATAGACAACTAAAATTCTTATAACAACTTCCTAACATTCACCTCCCTGGTGTTTTGCTCACCCTTCAGTGTGTCCACTGGCCTTTAGATGGTTTGGTTCAGTGTGATGGGAGTTGTTTGCTTTGTTACCCCTGCAACTGGCTTTTCCCAACTTCCCAGGTCAGTGTATTTTTAGCTGACCAACACTGACTTGTTTACAACCCTGAAGTTTCTAGTGTCATCTTGCACCTCCCGCCCACTCCTGTCATTCCAACACTGTAGTCCCCTGCATTGCATTATTATGAAGGGCATAAACATTTCATTCTCCCAACTGCATATTACCACATATTACTCTGTGTTATGATTGTATCCCACAATTATATAAAAGTACCAAAAAGTAAAACACAGAAACATAGAAGATCTCAGTTTGAAAGATACCCATAAAAATCTTTGAGTCCAGCTCCCCAGTTCCCACAGGAATACCTAATCTAAAGCATGTGGTTAAGTTGTTTAGATGCCCCTTGAACACTGGCAGGTTTGTGGCTGTGACCACTTCCCTGGGGAGCCTGTTCCAGTGACTGACCACCCTTTCAGTGAAGAACCTTTTCTTTATGTCCAATCTGACTTCCCTTTATCCAGCTCCATTCCATTTCCTCATGTCCTTCTGCCTAGCACTGGTCACCAGTGTGGAAATCAGTACATGAGAGAAGTCCTTCCTTATCATTATAAGATTGTTGTTACAGATAAGCAAAGTAAAACAGTTGTGGCAATGCTAAAGCAAGCCCAACAAAGCCTGACAAGTTCAGAATATTTGCAAAATCAGTATAAAGTCCATGTTCTACTGCTAGCCATAGCAATAATATATTTACTGAACCTGAGCTATGGGTCCCTAAGTATTTAGAAATGTAAAAGTAACTCAGCCTAATATTACTTATTGCTTAATACTCTTAAACATATTTAATCAATTTAGCATTCAATTCTTCTATGTAATGTGTAAATCCTCTCACTTTCAAGTGCAGAGGTTACAAAGGTTAGTAGCAAAATCCAAATGTAGAGCAATCATTGTAGATTAATGATTATTAAATGCTTAGCATAAAGCAGACAACATTTAGCTTACTATTACATGCAGTACATTCTTTCAGTATTGTCCGATTTAAAGGCTTAAATTTACCTGTATGGGGTCTGTGTTGAGTCAGTATTTCTGTGCTGTCATTTCTCATTGCAGAAGCTTTTTTCTGAATAATTTCTCCTGTACAGGCACTTTAAAGGTGTGTAATTAACTGGTTGCAAGTTGTTAGGCAGTTGATGAAGGGTGAATGAGGTGCTGATTTATTTTATTTACATGTTTCCCATAATACTCTGATGAGAGCAGGATGAGAAGGCATTTTTACCCTTTGTATTATTCTTTCTTTGTTTCATCAGAGTAAGAAGTGGTTTGTGAAGCCATTTGGAATTCCTCAAATTCCATTAAACATTAGTGTCCAGGGAAGCTTAAATCAAAAACATAGTAAGTGCCACCTGAACACAGCATTGCTGTCCCTGACACGAATAACCAGGTTAAGGAAGCACTTTGTTTCTAGCTATAGCAGTGCATCTGACCACTCTCAGCTTGTTGTTTAATAATATGCTGGTTTTGAAGACCTAGACAATTCAGGAACTATATATTTTTTATTACACAGTCCTCCCCCACCTATTCACTTTTAACCAGAGAGAATAATAATTGTGTGTGGCAACCCACCTTTCAACAAAGGAGTATGGAGAGAGACATTTTAAGACAGTTTCATTGCTGGGGTCTCACAAAGGCGCCTATTGTCTATTCTTTGTCAAAGGTGTCTACCTGAAGTGTTTGTAGCCACCTTTATTTTAACATTGTATCTAACAAGCATAATAAATAGCTTGCGCCATGAAAAGTCCATCCCCTTATGCATGTACCTCTGAAAACCTCTCTGAAAAACCCTATCCTTAATTATAGTGTATTAAGTAAAATCAGCATGAGCGGTTTTCAGTGAGTGGGAGCTGAATTAGAAGCAGGGGAGCAGGCTGAGAGCTACCAAGACAGAAACAACTGAAAGAGCAGAGGCATGAGAGAATTAAACTGAGGTGTGCATGGCAGAGTGTATTGAAATGGCAAATAATAGTCTGGAGGAATTGGTAGGGGACAAGTGGGGGAGAAGCAAGCAAAAGCATAATAGAAAGTGTGGATGAATATGAAAGACAAATGACAAAAACAAATAGCCCTTTATATTAGGCAGGAACAATTAAGCTGTGTAATCACAAAATCCTGCTGTGTCCAAACTCCTGTGCAATTACCAAATGGATGCATATCCCAAGCGCAGCGCTTTGAAGAGTATGGCAACAAGAGTATGTCTCTTATTTACAACTCACCTCCCTCCCCCACCCCCATGAGCAGGAGCTTGAGTGGTATCTTTGTTTTCTGCACAAGAGACGGGTAAGCAGAACTTCCCTGCAAGCAAACCCAAGGCCAGAGGGGCAGCTGTAATTAGTTCCTAGTCAGCACCATTAGTTCCTAGGGCACCATCAAATCGTTCTTGAAAGGTTTTCTTTAGTAAGGCTACACATAACTTTGTTCAATTTTTTCCCATCTATTGTTACTTTAGAAAGTAAAATACATTCTTTACTAATATAATTATAACAAGTATGTGACACAATGTTACAGGAGAGCAGTGAGTGTCACTGCTAGGGGCAATTGTCGTCTCTGTTTCCCTCTATTTAGTATGTATTTTGAGGACCTTATTACAGGGTCACCATGTTCTGAGCACATCTTGTTTGCTTAAAGCAATTTTTACTTCTAATAGTATAGCCTAGGCTGAGTTAAAATGTTTTCTAAATTACATCAGCACCATCTGAATCCAGAATCTCCAAGGAACAACTAGCTGCAGTCTTTTTGAAAATTCCCATGGGAAAAATTCCTTCCAAACACATAAAATTAGAGCCAATAAATGACTAAGGCATCGGATGCAGAAGTGAGACACTTAAATCCAGAGTTATGGTCCAAACATTGCTGCTCAGCTGTTGTATGACCTTGTGGATAATTTCTCATTTGACCTACTAGTTCTTTGTGAAATCCTCTTTTCCTGCAAGCTACACTTGCACATACTTAAATCAGACCACTGACTGGACAAGGCTTTTAAACCTGATATGAGTTACAAGAGCATGACTTACACTTATCGCAAAGAATCAAGATTGTAAAAACATCTAACTTGCTTTAAAATAGCAGCATTTACTGTACAAGCACCAACGTAGTTAGTGAAGTCTGTAGGGAAAAGGATTTTGATCCCAGTTTCCTTTCTGAAATCTTTGGTTTCTTTCTGAATCTCAGGAATTTCTAGGGTTAATCCATACATCCCAGATTGACTCCATGTACAAGAGAGATATTGACTGCTGTTGCTAAGATGTAAAAGAAAACGGTAACTTAATACTGTAATTTAAACAGCTTCTTCTTCTTTCAGAGTGCTCAATGCCTATTCTAAAATTTCCTGCTGGACCTCAAGGGTTGAAGACAAAATGAGTCATTTCCAAAACCTCATCATGTTGGCATAAAGTTTAGCTGTGGTACATTGTAGGAGACAATTCTCAACCGTATAGCTTAATTTCATACCTCTGAGTTATATTCATGTTGTTTGGATAGAAATTTTGAGTCATGAGGGACCTCTTTTGTAAAATACTCAATCTGAAGGTTAATGAGTTTATATGAGGATACCTGATAACAATGATTATATAACTGAGTGGAACCGAGTTGCTTCTTGCCATCTATTCTCTCAGTATCTCTACACACGCACACACACGTATATATTTACCAGTATAATTTCTGGGTGTAGCCATTGATCTGCCTGACCACTTCTGTCCACACAAGCATATATTGGTCTGTCCATTCTATTGGAGTTCTGTACCCTGGACAGATAAATTGCTTTGTGCCAGCCCCACCTAAGGTACAGGACAGCAACAGGCAAAGAAGACATGACGGAGTTATGGCATTGGCTCACTTGTCACTCTTTGTCTGCTGGTCACACCAGTAAAAAACACTGTAGTTTTCAGGGGCACATAAAGTAGTCAAATCTAATGTAGCCATTTTTTACTGCAGTGAATTTCATTTCCCATCAGTTGACCTTGGAGCCACTTGAGACCTGATGTAAGATTTTTCTTTCAATGAGAAAAGGTCTCTTTTTCATTGCATACTTGATAATTTAAAAACATTTTATAGACTTTTTTTCAGGCCTTAATCTTGACATTCCTGCATGAACCACTAAAGTTGAAACTCACAGAAAACAGCCTCACCAGGAGCTAAAAATATGAAATTTAATGGTAGTAATTAGGAAAAGCAATGGAAATTATTCTAAAGCTTTTCCCAGACTTCAGTTACATGTATGCATATATCCTCTTGCCAGAAGGCACTACAGCACAGGTGTTTGGGTCTCTCATTAAAATGAATCTCAGTGATAGAATCCCCTTAAAAACAGTCATGTTTTTAATTTGCTTATATTTGTACATTCACAAGTAAGCTTACAGGGCTCATTTTCTTTTGCAAAACTCATCTCAGATGTCCATTAAAGTTCATACACATTGAAACTTTTAAGGCTTAGCAAAAAATAATTTCGAACTTGAAGATAAAAAGATTATCATCTGCATATAATGTCTACTGGTTAGCATCTTAGAAAACTGTGAAAATGTGTTCTGCTATGGCCAGGTGAATTCTTCATCAAACCTATCAATAAAAGGATATAAATCCCTTGCAGGGAAACAAATGTTGTAGTATACTCTGGGTTTATATACTTAGGGCTAACTGTAGTACCAACTACAAGTACCTAGCTTTTATGTTTCTGCTTTGTCTCCTTCCCAGCCACAGGAATGCATTGGCCTGATGGATGAACCCAGGGCTCATCCATCACCCAGGTCCTCAGAGCGGGCACTCAGAGCTGCTTGGTTTCTTCAGCCAGTACCAAAGCTACAGGACAGCAGCCATTGGAGAAGCACCATTGGTCAGGCTTGTGTGCCTCAGTGCACTCAGGTGAAAGAGTCCCAAGTGCTGTGCCAGATCCTGCACCGAGGACAGGCACCTGCATTAGCTCTTTTAATGAGCTGTGTGCTGTGGTACTTTACTGCTGGTGGTTATACAGGCGATGACTTATTCACTGAAATGTTCATCCAGGGAGATAAACAAGTTGTGAGAGCTGCTCTCTGACTCTGCTTCAGAAGGCAACTTTTAAATGAAGAATGAAATTATCTAGGCAGAATGCAGCAGGTATGTAATCACAGTGTCCTGCTCCCCCTAGAAATACATAAATTGAATTATGCTGTGTTTGACAATACAGCAAACTGCTGATTGTGTCACCTAAATGGAGAGAGCTGTATGAGGGCTGTTTTACCCTGTGCTGGGAGCCTGTTAAGGAGAACATTTTAATGTGCTGGAGAAGCTGTAGATGACAGAGTGCAGCACAGTTTTTTCCAATGAGAGCAACCAGCACACCACACATACAAGAAAAAATAAGATGTGACAAGGAAGAACAAATGCACATCTTCATTCTGTTTGGTTTGATATTCATATGGGTTTAACTGGAAATCTGTGTCCCACGGTCACCAACTAATATTTGCCACATTTAAAGTATATTACATACAACATTAATACAGTACATAATTTAACATAAAATTTGGGAAGAAGCTACTGCTGCAGGTTTGTCCCAAGTTGTGATATGGTCTCTACAACCCTAACAGCATTATGATAGTCTCAACAATGGTCAAAGATTTGCCTGGAAACTGCATATTGATGGACCCCAGACCAGCTGAGTGCTTTAACTATGTGACTACCACGTGAAAAAGGACACATTTGGTTCGTGTCTCCCTTCCAGGAGGAATGCCATGGAGAGACACATGCCTCTCCTGGACACATTTGGTTCGTGTCTCCCTTCCAGGAGGAATGCCATGGGTGCTATTAGGTTGAACACTGCAGACCTGCATGTGAGCTAAATGCTAAGCTACTTGCATAGTGCTGACACCAACACACCTTGGCCACAGAAGTTTCAAAACCTAGAGAATGCTAAATGTAAAGATATATGTTCATACAGACTTTTAAGTATCAAAAAAGAGTGAGGTCAGGCCTTGTACTTTTGGATCTCTTATTTGAAAACTTTAAATGACTACATATACCAGCTGCAGTAGAATACATATATCCCTTCAAATGTATTGCATTCAATATAGCATGTATAATAAGGTAAATTCAATTGCTTTCTCCAGATTAGAAATTCTGTTCCAAACTGCAGTGATGTAAATACAAGTAATTGCACTCAATCTGCTTGTCAAACTTCTTCTTTAAAATCAGATCAAGATGACTGACCCCTGTTTTGTAACTAAGCCACAGCATAGTTTGCATAAGGAATGCATAATTTTACAGACTTACCAAGTGCCACAAAACTAGGTTTTAAGAAGGGGAAAATACCAACCTCTGAAATATTAAATGTGAACTTTCAAGCTTATAACATACAGTAAAATATTTATTCTTAAAAAAGACTAGTGCATGTCTTGTGGCCTAAAATAATTCGCAGGAAAAAGTCAAAAGCCTAGAAAAACATATCTTCCATTAACACCACTACAGATTTTCAAAGTACCATGAATATTTTGTGCAGTTAGTATGATGATGATAAAGCATCTTTATACATCTTGGTTGAAAAGTGAGACAAAACAAGTGAGACACTTGTTTTGTGTCAGGTATGAAACACATTTTCATATGATACACAGAGATCATAGCATGAACTAAGATTAAATATCAGAATAAAATTCCTGTATTTTCTGGATAACACTGTAAATCATATGCACTGAGCCCCATTACAACTTCATTTAGGAGACTAAAATATAAGCGACTAGCTCTGCTAGGGAAAATTCTGTGTATGAGGACAAAATATATATTAAAGGAAATAATTCTAAAATGTTGGTCTTTTAGGGATTAGAATATATAGGTTTGAAACTCTGGGGATGTGGTTTTTTGTGTTGGGCTTTTTCATCTCTTTCTTTGTAGATTGGTGTTGCATTGCATTGCATGGGAATGCATTTCTCAATTTGGGACTGAAGAGGTAAAAGACTATTTATTTGGCTCTTCAAAACTGGAAATAAGTACTCTGAAATTTGTGGAACAGAATCCAGATGAATCCAAACTTTTGCTTTGACAAAGCTACTCTGATAATTATTCAATGGCATAAACCAGATTTTTCTAGTAATGGTGTGTAATATTCACTTGTAATTTATTGAATTTGATGAAATTAGTACACTAATTGTGCTTTTAGACTTATCAATTTACTTAAGGTTTTACATTTGATGGGCTTTTTCCAAACACATGAGAAATATGTAGATTATTATATACCACATTGATCTCATTATTTCTGACAGCTTAGAAAGAATGTGAATTCCTTTATTTCGTTTTTTTCTTCTAATTGTATGCTGCATATTAGCAAGTGTTTTTAAAATTCTGATATATAGCATCACTTGATTTCAAAACACATTACAGAAGTACAACACAACTATGTAGTAATTGCAATTTTATGCTTCAATTCTCTACCACATCCAAGCATCTCAATATTAGTCTATTGAAGATGATTGCCTCGGAAATATCTGATTGCAGATGGTTTACAGAGCTCTCATTTTCATCCCAAGTATTTACCTGATCATATACACCTTTTTCATACTCCTGTTAGATACAGTAATCTTGCAGGAAGGAGCTTAAATAAAATTATGTTGGTTGTAATTTGCCTAAAGCAAAAATATTTTAGTCTTGAAGTTCAAATACTTTTGTTCCTATTCTATGAAGAATTCCAATTACACACAGAACTTAGTAGGTATTCCCAATTACATAAAGCATAAGCCCACCCAAAACCCCTCTTATTAATAAACCACTATATTCAAAACAGCCTTTAGTCTGAAGAGACAAACCAAAGGAAAAGGTGAGACCATAAGTACTGGAAAACATAAAGTTTATTTTCTATTAGATAATTACATAAGGTCATTAAAATCATCGTGTATTCTTTGACACATTCTCTTAATACCTTCATTATCCACCACCAGTCTGCCATTCATTCTGAACATATTTAGAAAAAAAATTAGAAAATAGTTGCTTTACAACTAAATTGTGCAAGAACATATCCCTTTTGAAGAACTCAACATCTTTTTGAACTGAATATTACCTGCAATATTTTTATTTTGGTGCTGAGGACTCATACAGCAATATACTCAATAACCTGTTTATCAATATCTGTTTATCTTTTTGAACTGAATATTACCTGCAATATTTTTATTTGGGTGCTGAGGACTCATACAGCAATATACTCAATTACCTGTTTATCTAGAGCAGCCTCCACTGTGGAGTCAATGTTTCTGATATGTTGCTTTTTCACCTTTTTTTCTGACTCTACTATGCCATGATTTCCAGCTGGAAATATGCTTAAGGGTGGGAGCCTGCCCTTTTCCTTGCATAGTGCTGCCCTAAAGCATCATTTAATAGGCACTTAGTGAAATGCAGGCAAAGCAGGTGAGGCAGAGTGCTCAGTCTTCCCGAGTGCTGTATGACCTTGTCAATATGTTGCTCTACAGGCAGAGAGTACAAGACATCTAGAGAAGACCCGAGGAGCCGCAGCAGATAAAAATAGACAACTGCAGCAATATCCTTTGTGAAGTGCTGCTGACTGAGTTGGAGCCAGGCTAAGGATTCAGCGGTGGGATTAAAAAACTGTCATTTTCTGTCATTATTAAGTAAATTGCTTTTAGTGCTGCTAAACACATTATACAAGGACAGCAAGGCATGATGCTTTCTTGCCCTTAAAACCCTGTCTGACTGAAAACACTCGCACACATTACAAGGCAACACGTCTAAACTGACTCCTCAAAAGAAAGATGGGGAGGCAGGCAAAATTAGCCTGCTAGGGAGTGTGGTACCCAGAGGCACCCTGGCAATGCGCTCAGGAAAGAACCCAGGGCGGGTGAGGCGGGAGCTGCTCCAGCGCCTGCCGCAACCTCCGGCCCGGTCGGGGCAGCCCGGGGCGAGCCGCGGGGCGCCTGCCCTTGTGCTATACCTGTGCCTGTCGCAGTGTATGTCACAGCATATATCGCAGTCGAGACGGCCACGATACACCATACAGTATCAGAAAGCTTTAAGCATCCCCATACCGAGCAACACTATACCACTTCAGAAGGCTTCAAGCATCTACTCTTTATTGTTCTTCAGTCCAGCCTTTTATACCCTTCATCTTCCATGCCTTACACCTGTGCACCCTCTGTACCCTTTTGTGATTGGTCAGTGCACCTCGGCACTCCATGTCCCTTTACCTTCAATACTGGTCACCTGTCCTGCACAGCTGTAGCCCATTAGGGATGAGGTTCAGCTGCAGCCCTATTCCCAATTACCACAAACTGTCTGCCTATATGTATGCCTGTGCCGTGCCAGGTGTCACTGCCGTGCCTGTGCCGTGTGCGACGCCCCCGGTAAATCCCCGTGTGCCGCCGGCCGCTGTGGCGCCGCAGGTTCTGCCGGTGCCCGGAGCCGGCGCTCAGAGCTGCCCAGCCCGCTCCGGGAGCAGCAGCACGGCCCACGCTGGCAGCACTGCGCGTCCCTGCCGCCGTCTCGGAGGGTCCAGGCCGCCACCACTGCGCGGGGCAACCTTTTGTGTCTTCTGTGAAGTGCCTGCCCTCATCCTCTTTGCTTCCTTTGCCCGCATCCTCGTGCTCATCCACGTCCCAGGGCCCGGCAGCCCTCCGGCTCTTCCTGCTGCTGTCCGGCCCAGCAGGCCGTGTGGTGGCACACGCGGCAGCAGGGAGTCGGTGGAGCTCCTCAGCAGCCCTTCGGGCAGCCCTGTACTGCCGCCGCCGATGGGTGCCTCGGAGCTCAGGGAGAAGCTCCAGGGCAGGCTGCAACAGCGCGGCTGCCCGCAGCGACCGGGCCGGGCTGAGGCGGTGGTGCTGGTACCTGAAGAGACTGGGACAAACTGGATGAGACGTGTTTTAAAGCATGTTCATACTGTGGCGTGTGCTGCTGGTTGACTGGTGGAGCAGCAGAACACAAAGTCCATTTTGGCATCTGTCATAGCAGCAGGTGCCAACAATTCCGATGGCATAGCGTGAGGAGGCTGGTCTTCCAAAGGGGCAAGACAGAGTAGCTGGGGAATTGCCCTGGAAGTCCAGCACAGCAGCCTTGGAGCGATCATGAGACTTCCAGTGGTTCCCAGCCACTTGGGCTGGGACCTGACCTCACTGTGGGCCTCTGTTCAGGAATGCTGTATGGACTCCTGTCTCTTGATATTTTTTTTTTTTTTTTTTTTTTTTTTTTGGTAGAGACCAATGTAGAAATCAGGAATAAACCTGTGGTTTATACTGCAATATTTATTCACTTATATATAATCAGTGTTTCTAGAACAAAGTGTTACAATCCTGTGTTTCACAACACACAGAGCTAGACCAAAACAGCAAACTCGCCGGATGTTTTGTCAGCCCAGCATACCTTCACAGAACAGCTTTCTACTCTGCCAGCAGCCACAGCCTTTGGTTCCTTTTGTCACCCAACCAAAGCAACTCACCTCAGCAATTATCATTTGCTGATTAGTTTCAGTTATACAATCATAGCTGAGATTTTGGCAGCCTGTTCTGGAACAGATTTATTAAGGATGATCAATTATGACCAGGTGGAATTTCTGACAGATTTTTTTTTTATTGTTGCTTGACAATATATGGGAAGTCTCCTATTAGATAAATGCAGTTAATGAGGTGACCCTGCCATCTGCTGTCATTTCTGCTGCTGCTTCCATGGTTTAGTGTCTGCTCAGAGTCTCCCAGGTCACTCCCTCTCCTTCAGCTCAGCATGGAATACAAATCTTTCTAATGAGCCCACACAGTGTTGAGGATTTGTCATTCATGCTGTACCTAGTTTCATGTGGCACAACTGCTGAAAGCTTCACTTGCAAGATGGGCTGGTGTTATCTTCAGTAAAAATAGCACTGAACCAGAAAAGGCTCACTGAGAAAATTTGCAAAATCCACCAAGTTTACCAGTTATCAAGATAATTAAGTGTAGAGTTGGTGAGAATGATAATAGCAATTTTGTCTTTCAATTCAACATTTTGATTGTTTCTGTGTACTTTACACAGCTGCAGCAATACGGATACCAAAGAGAGGACAGCATTCCATGGTGCCCACCATGCCCATACCTCACCATGCTTGAGGCACATACAGAAGCACACTTCCCACAGCAAGATGGAACTCACCCTTTTTTGTCCTTGTGCATAGGTGTGAGGGGCTCACAGTGAACTGAATTTTAGTCTTTGAAGGTATGAGTTCAAGAATTACCTAGAAAATATAGATGTTCTTCTCTGAACATGGAAACATAGAATGGCCTGGGTTGGAAGGGACCATAATTGCCTGGTTTCAACCTCCCATGCTGTGGGCAGGAACACCTTCCACTAGATCACATTGCTCTAAGCCACATCCAACCTGGTCTTGTGCATTTCCAGGGATGGGACATCCACAAATTCTCTGAGCATCCTGTTCCAGTGCCTCACCACCCTCACAGAAAGAATTTCTTCCTCACGTGTATTCTAAACCTACTCTTTTTCAGTTGGAAACCATTGCCCCTTATCCATGACCACCTCTGGTAGTGCACTGACCAGACTTTTTTGTATTATTTCTGCTGTTCTACCCTGCCACAGGACTGAAGAAAAACAAACAAAACCCTGAAAACCTTTTCCTTTGGGTACAAGACAAATACCGTAATTCAAGTCTACACAAACAGCAGAAAAAACTGATTTCCCCGCATTATTTCACACAGAGGAAAAAACCCAGTAAAGCATGTGGTGAAAATACACTACTTCTCAAAATGCAGCAAAGATTCCAGAAGTCAAAATTGATCTTTATGGCCTGAAAACCAATTTTCTCTCTTTTTTTCTCCCTGCTTGCTCCCCTGTAGCTCCTGTCTGCATGTTCAAAGTAGCAGGTTATGACTTGCTTTGATTTTACTTGCTTATCATCATGCAGCTCAAGTTTTACAGCTATAAAAAGTCCACTGAATTATAGCTTCAGGGGGATTGACAAGATGCACTTCAGTTCTGAGACAGAACTTGAAGCGGGAACTGTAGATGCAGGAAAACTCTCCTTGGCAACATAAAAAGCCTCTGTCCAGTGTGCACAATCTTCTCTTGCTGAACTTAATGGCCTGAGAAGAGCACAACACAGTAATATTTTGTTGCTTCAACTCGTAATACACTAACTGAAAAAAAAGTTGAGTTTATTGATATGTTTTGTTCCTTGTAAATTATTTTGTGCTCATGTTAGAAAGTTGGTTTTTTTTGTTTTATTTTTTTTCAGATGTGACCAAATTCATTAGGTACCAGCTGCTTTCACCCAACTCCTCTTGGACACATGCCATTTCTATAACTTTGGTATGACTCTTCAGATTAATTCTACTGGGTGTTGTATCACATTCTTGGATTTACCACAGCACTGTACTTACAAAGGTGAACTGAATATCTTGAAAAATAAGCACAGAGATCAAGATGCATCAGACTCTGCTCCAGCACACCTGCAACAAGCCCTCCTCTCACAACACACGGCAAAAAAAATCTGGCATGGGAGTTCAGATGGACAGCTGGCTCTCCAGGGCACATTCAGAGTTTAAGGGCAAATCATTGCACAAGTTACATCCCTTGAATGTAACGTGGCCCAAAGGCCCAGAGGAATGATCTCTCAAATCAACTTAGGCTCACATTATAGATTCAGCATTTCTTCCCTGCTCCTACCCATGTTCAGCAACCCTAAAATAAAACTTACACCCTCCCCCCCACACCCTGTCTGTCTACCTAGCATTACTTTCTCCATGAAAAGATCAGGAAATAAGGCAAAGGATTCCCATTTACAGGACATGCTGGGACTGAGCCTCCACCTTTAGCAAAGCCTGTTGGACATTACCTACATCCCACCTCCTGATTTTAGTAAATTAGTTTAGTCCCTGTCCTTGAGCTATTGCTCTGTCTGTGAACACAAACTCCCATGGGAACAGCTTTATGGGTAAACTTCCCCCTCAGCTTTTGTTCCCAAAGCCCTTGCTTATAAGTTCCCCCTGGGAACAGTTGCTGTGCTGCATCCCATTCAGGCTGTGCTTTTGAAATATTCCCTGCAGGAAAGGCAGAAGTAGCTCCTTGCTGATGGTCTTTCTTTTGAAAAGCGAGAGGAAACACTTCAAGGGAAGTCAGTGAGGTCAACAAAAACTAGCAGTGATAGTAGTCTCTCACACATAAGCAAGAATGTAATGCAGAGAGTTCTTCTGCAGATTTTTCCAGAAGTAAAATAAATTGGAATACAGAAGTGGATGTAGTTCCCATAGCAAATCAATGATGTAAAATATTTAAATATTTAACCAAAATTTCAGCACCTTATGAGCTATCAGAGAAGCTATTTACTATGAAATTTTGACATTCATTTGCTCCCTAAAATACTGAGATGTTAATTGCAAAATGCACTGCATCAGTTATGCACCATGGGTTAAAAAAGTAACTGTTTAGCAGGGAAATATTTGAATATTCTGTATTCAAATTTGCTATTTAGAAACTCTTTGCCTTTGCAACTCAAGACTGTCAGTCTTCTCTACCCTCTGGTTAGCCACAGCAAAAGAGAAAATCCCCCACCACAAGGCCTTTGTAAAATAAAAACACCCTCTGTTTTGTCAGGACTTACAGCTTCCCTTCCACTCCCTTCAGCTCAACC